CCTTTATTTTATACTTCACGTATATATAAGCATTACACAAACAATATTGTATCTATTAAAGGAACCGCAAATGACATGATAATAATGAAATTTGGAAGATAATCATAAAAGGGAATAACACTTAGATTTTAGCATAATAACCACATAATGGGGAAATTAGTTTATCCGATATTTTTCAATGTTATAATAAAATTTTATGTAAATAGAATTTGTTCGTTATCAAAGACTTTTTGGGTAAAAGATTAAATATTAATTTATCTTAATATTTAAAATAATAAAAAAGGAAAAATAATAAATTTGTGTTAAAATTTTTGTAACAGTAAAGCCTATTCAAGTTTTGATTTATAGTTAACACCTTTACTTAATCCCTCACACGTATAAATTGCAAAATAATATTTCTTTTAACAAATTTAAAAAACATTTTGCATAAAAAACGAATTTTCCTTCAAATAAAACAGTTGTAAGATAAAATAATTATTAATATACATTAAAAAAAACAATGGAAGATTAATTAAAGAAACCGACAATTTCTCGCTATTTTAAACAATTTAGGGTCAACACCACACCCAAGCTGTGCTCATTACTAGCCAAGGTTTTTGTTTGTGTTGAAAAATGCAAATCAGTGGAAATATTTACGCCTTAATTCACTGCAATTCTAATTTGAACAAAAACTTCTCGGTCACATTTAAATAATTTATATGAGAATTATTCTTTCATTGTTGTTCATTTATAAACTCACCCGAGAACACACCTAAATAAATGTTTTTAAGACCGTTTATTCTATTTCTATTATAAATATTTAACACTGAAACTACGAAAGTTCTTATTTTAATCAATCAATTAAATTAAACCTATAAATCAATTAATCTTTCAAGAGACTCTTCAATGTGAAATTCTATGATGACTATAAAGTTTCTCCTAACAAATAAATTCTAAATTTAGAGTCCTGCAACTTTGACTATTAGAATCGGACAACTTAGGAAGTAATACCAAGACATATGTTGTGGACATAAGTCTGCGCTCTATTACTTTAGTTTCGTTTATTAAATTCCAACCGCAAAATGCTTTTTTACATAGTAGCCATATATTATGTGATTATAATAGGGGTTGTTACAAAGATAATTTCACCTTTATTAAATATAAATATACTATAAAAATAGCAATATATAAAGCAGTTATATAATTTGAAAATGTTACATAGTGTTTTATTATTAAATAATAATTTTCCTTTATGTTAATAGGTTCGAAAATCCTAAACGTTTTTTCTATAGGTAATCATAAAATGATGAGACATTACTATTCTATGAGGCCGTCTTTTTTGTATCCCTACTAATATTATAAATGCGAAAGTAACTCTGTCTGTCTGTCTGTCTGTCTGTCTGCTACGCTTTCACGCCTAAACCACTGAACTGATTTTAATGAAATTCGGTACAGAGATAGAGTTGACCTTGAGAAAGAACATAGGATAGTTTTTATCCCAGACTTTTGAAAGGTTCTCTTGGAAACGCGATATAACCGAACTCCACGCGGCGAAGCTGCGGGCGGAAAGCTAGTATCCTATAATTATTATTAGATAATTTCGCTAAAGCGTTTTCCCATTACATAACAAACTTATGTTCATCTTTCCTCGATATTCCTTAATGGTTTATGAATTGCTTAAACTGGGTTGTCTGTAATTTCGACAATATATATGTAAATGGTTTTATAAAGTAGGTAATTCAATAAATATACCATAAATTTTCGTGAATATTTTTTTTATATCTACGCGTAAGATGACAAAAATCAGCCTAACATGAACATTAGCAATCGAAGCTGAAATACATAAGCAAGTATCTAAGAGAGCTCTTTCAAATAAAGTTTCCAAACTTATTAAAGGTTTCCGTTGGGGGTATGTTGTTATGGCTAAACCTTTAAGCCGTATTTTACCAAGCAGGTCATTGTGAACATGTTTCCTTAAATAATCGAAACTGTTCAAAATCTCTCAAGGGCAACTATGGCAGTGGTGTCTAAATACGTTCAGTGTAATCCACTTTAGTCGGTGACTTAGAGACGAGATACTACAGCTTGCCCGTCGTTAATAATAATCACATAATTTTAATCTTAGCATACAACTAAATGTATGTTTTAGCTGTATAATTTTATTTATAAAAGAACTTTCAAACAACAGCTACCAATTTTATGATTTGTTTATAATCCGATAACTAAATTCAAAATTTAACATTAATATCACAAAATAATTAAAAATATATATTTTTTCCAAAATTATATATCCTTCAAATACATTTTTACATTATAAAACCATTTTCATTAAATAAATAAATGATTCAACTATGAAAAATCTATTCACAACGTCAAAAAAAGAAAATATATTCCCTCTTAATATAAAAAAGTACAATGTTTCTCATTCCTTATAAACCCCAGAAATAAAATTAAGGGTGTCCTTCCATTTCAATATCGATTTTATATTTCCTATCAAACATTTCTAAATCGATAATGTAAATTATCTAAACGTTATCTTAAGTAGGTACAAATATTAAGTGATTTCTCAGAACGACGCCAACCGCAAGCTATAATTAAAACAAGCTAGTATTATCTTAACGACTTAACGGCCAGAACCCATCCCTCGTAGACCCTCAAACTTCTGTAACGCGATAATCAGTCCGTCGATTCGATTGGTTTATTTACTTTAATTGTTTTATAGGACATCGAAAACATATAGCAGATGTATTTGACTATCAATTCTGTTTCTATTATATAAAATTACATAATGTATAAGATCTATGTACCTACTGCATTGAGAAAATATTGCAAGTATAAAACTTGTTTTACACAACTCAAATTTTTATTATTAGTTTAGGTATAATTACAAAATTTTAAGATAATATTTAAATATATGTATATGTATATATTTTTATTTATTTGAAATTCTTTTTTTTTTTGTTAACGTACGTTGACATCCAGAAACACTATTATATAAATAAATATATTCCAAATTACTTTTATATTTTCATAAGTGGTCAAATATCGATAACTTACAACACTATTCGATCTTATCAAACATTGACTATTATTTGTTGTGATTAAATGTATGTATTTGTAAAATGGTTGTGCCATCAAAGATTTTATTTCGAACTCCAAGTAGTTTACACGTGTTACCTATTTTCCAGTGAATATACCAGCTTTCTTTTCTTTTGTCCTTTAAACAGTTACGTAAATCTGTTGCATTATCTTGAGAGTCCTCGATTTCATTATCAGATATGACCTTTCCGGCTTCCTTGTCGGCTTTTTCTTTGCCTATTATACCGTACCGTAACACTGTATTTTTTTTTTGTAAAAACATTTAACGAATATTTAAATTTTAAATATAAAGTTTCTTGTATTCTTAAAGTTTGTTGTAAATCAGGTATTGTATAAATGTACCATAATTATTTTGCAATGTTTATAGTTAATTTTGAATTTGGCAATGGAATTATAAATATCTACATATGTAGTTCATAATAGCACTGTTGTTTGAAAGTTCATTTACAAAAAAATATATATACAACTAAAGTACACACGTATGAAGTCGGAAAAATATGTGAATGTATTTTATGTATATTATATAAAAAAAAATCTATATATTTTAATGTCGTGTTTTTCGTCAAATAATGTAAAATATTATAAAGCATAATCAGGTTTTTGATTAAGATGAAGTCATTAAATTGAGAGTGTTAAAAGTAATAAAAATGATGCTTTTAAGAGAAAAAAAAAAGTACATATTGAAAGCTTAAGATCCACTTATGCAACCACTCTGCACATGTCTTTATATATGTAGTTTTATAGTATCTAGAAACGTAAGTCTATTTAGGAAATAACGTAAAAATGTCAAACAGATTGACACTTTCCGTATGGTCTCTCCTGAATTATTTTAGCGATTGTTTAATAAAATGTACTTTGTATTTGAATTTCCAAGAATAGAATAGTTGTGGATATTGTATTTATAGAAATGTCTATGTATTTCTGACGTCTTTGATAATTGAAGTGCAAAGGCTTTTAGTCGCCCACAGTATAACAAGAGTATATGAAATTATCTATTTCCGATTTTAATGTTATATATTTATTGAATATATTTAAATCTAGTTTATTTTGCACAAATTATTGGTTGATATGGGACATCGTAGACTGTTAAAAATATTAATTTGATGAAACTTACATGTTTACATCTATGTAATAAAATGAAATTCAGGTGTTCAACATTTTCACTCACTTCGACATATTTTTTTTTTAATTTTAATGAAAAAGCCGAACGCCGTGCGGTATTAAGGATGTGTGGGACCGGTAGCAATATCGCTTTAAAGGAACCTTGATCTGCATATTTAACCTAATTTGGTTTCGCTACGCAACTTTATTTAGGAATGAAATACTCTTATACATTAACAGTTTTATTTCATAAATTCTTGCAGATTATAATTCTGAAGTTTTAATCCTTATCATTGACTGGGAAATTGACCACACTGGTATGTATTGCGACTATGCTAATTGCGATTATGGTCTATGCATAATTTCACTGGAAAATATTCACACAATTTTATGTATTCTTAACATCAACTATGGTTTATTTGTAGCATGTGTTAAATGAGAGTTTATGTTAAGTAATCAATTATTCTCTGCAAAGATGAATTTGTCTAAAAATGAAGTATATTGTTTTAAGCAGAGCTAGTAACAAATGCAAAAATTAATTTGTCCACAAATACAGGTATTTTTTACAAAACCAGTTACAAATGTTACTCTTATTTTATATATCCTGTACTGGTTCCACTGTCAAAAAATAGTTTTCATATACAATCTTATGTCAATTTAATCTTTACATATACTTTCCCATATAATTATACAAATTGCAATTGTATGTAATGAATTCTAATATTATTATTTATATTTAAATGTATAAAAATAAAAATGAAACTTATTTCACTTATCATTAAATTTATACTTATATACAAAACATGTTGAATACTTAAATTCTAAGTTACTTGAGGAACATCCCCAATCCACCAAAACACTAAGCTATTTTCAGCAATTTTTGAATATTTATCATTCCTTATTCCTTTATCAGGCTCAGTAATATCTTCATGTACTTCGAAATTCTCTTCCAAATCCTGGATAGGGTCCTCAAAATGATATTGACCGGAGCCAGTAGCTAATATTGGTCTTAATGGATGTATTGATAGGCTATTGCAGCAGTCTTTATGCAATGGAAACTGAAATAAATGCAGATTGTTATTAAATTTCAACTAAGGTTAAAATTTGTTTGCATAAAAATATACAATAGAAACCATATTTAAATATGTAAATAAAGCTATAGCATAAAAATTACATAACTAACAAAATATTCTTTAATCATTATATGCTTTTTCTCCATGTAAATGCTATAGGATTGTGTTTAAAAGGAATTGGCAGTTTTATTAAAAAGAAATTATTTGCCAATGAAATTTAGTGTAAATTTTATGTCTAAACAGCTGTTAATATATTTTTTCTAGTATTCAAAGGTAACTAGTATTATTTCGAAACAAAATGGTTACTAACACCGAGAAATTGGAATTAACGTTAAGCTTATGTACAGGTTCCATTCAAATAAGATTTTTGTTATTCTGTTATCAGATACTACATGTTCAAAATAGTATGTGTCTTAAACAAATATTTCCAATCATTACACTTAAATACTAAAATTATCACACAAATAAACTCACCCTGTATGTCGCATTATCTTTCTCATCAGTAACATCTAATCTATTTATCCAATCAATATTATCGGCATCCCATACTTTTATTATGCCATCTGTACCTCCAGTAACCAAGTATTTACCACATGGTGATATATCAAAATATATCCTTTGGTTTGTGTCAACGACTCTACTTAATATATTGAGCGGCCTTTGATAATAACGAATATCCCAAACTAGTAGCCTGTGATCTTTTCTTGCTCCCGATACTAATTTTTGTCCATCTTGAGTAAACTTCAAGTGAGTGACGCCCCCTTAAATTATAAAATACATAATAATTAATAAACATTATTTCAAAAAAATTTAAAATATATAAAGAACTACTTATGATTAAAAATGAAAAAGAACTGAATTATTTGGGAAATTTCTATCCATCACAATATATTTGAATGCATTAAACTAAGTGATTTTATGTGACAACCAAATTATTGAATTATCAGAATTGTAACATAATATAACTATGATTTATCCCAAAATCATGTGTGTTACCACAGTATAAAAATATGACAATTGTATTGTGTATAAAATCCTACTATGCACATTATAAATCTGCCAGTTCATTAATATATAAATATTTTTAACACATTATACATTCCCCACTGACCCTAATTTTTGAATCAAAACGGGTGAAGTCGCAGGCAGAAATATGTAACATATCAAAAGAAAAAAAGAAATTTTTTTCTTATAATAATAAGATGTATATTACCTGAGTGGCCATGCATTTTCCCAATACTCTTATATGTTCCAAATTCACTAATATTATATAAAGTAATAGTGGTATTCCATGAGCCCATAGCCAATAAATTTTCATGTGTAGCAAAACAAGAAGCCGGTGAATTGATCTTATGCTCTGCAAAGTCTCTTCCTGGTCTAATCAAAAAATACTTTTATATTTTATTATAATATATTCAAATTATTACAAGTTAAAAATTCTACCTCTCAACATCAAAAGTTCTCAAATATTTCTTATATCCAGCTATAATTCTATCTCCATCGCTACTAAATGTGACCGAGAGTGCTGGTTCCATTTCATCCACTGCATTGAAGCCTCGGTATGAACACCTCAAAGAACCATCAAAAGCATCCCACATTTGCAGCGGTGCATTCTGACGAGTTGTCAACCAACTGCAACGTAATATTAAACATGGATATCATAAGAATATATGTAATACAAAAGCTATAGAGACCAAATTATTACCAGCAAGTCTCAGGTATGCCACTGTTCATACCAGGATACCAACAGAAATCATAGACAAGACCTGCCTCTTTAACGTGAATGACCGAATCCAATATATTAATTGTCCGATCAGGGGATACAGATCCGGAGTAAAGATCTCTTGGTAGCTCTGTTACATGAACTCCGTCACTGTTAACCACTGTGAGACAACAAGTACCGTCTGGAGACCATTTACATCCTCGTAAATACGGCTGCACATTCTGTTTCGCGTTTTGAGATCTCGACCAAGAAGAATTGCACAATTCTACTAAGGTTTTGCTACTAAACAGTGTAGGATACGTAAATATATTGGTATCTTCTGCATCCATGTGAGAAGCTTCACAGTTTTCGCCATTATTATCTATTATAATGTCTTCTTCCATGATTATTCTTATCAATTCTGTTAAGCTCACATTTAAAATATAAAGAACATACTTTTGTATTTTGATTTAAAAACAACCGGTCAAAAACATAACCTTTGGGTTTATAAATTTACAGGCTATAAAATTTTTGCAATAAGCACTACAGATACATTTCATATTTCATTTTACTTTGAAAATCTTCATCAAGTATATAATAAGATAAGATCTTAAAAATTTAAAATTTGCAGTTTCTGAACAATATTCTTTATATTCATATATTTCTTTTATAATCAAGTACCTATATATCTTTTAACATCAAGAATATTTTAATTCAGTAATTAATACATATGTGAGTCGTAATTATTATAAAATATTGACTTATAAAATCCAATTTTTATGGTTGAACGATTTCAAAATAAACAAATATATTTTAAATAAGAAAAAAACTTCGCTTAATGTCAGCTGCTTAGTGTCATTGTCAAGAGTCAGTATCAAGATATGACATTTAATCAATGTATGTTTATCATAAACCTTCGTTCGGTTCAGTCGTCATAGATTATTCACGACAAAATTCCGTAATTATTTGTTATTAAAATTAGACATGATTAAGAGCAGCAAAGTTTCTCAACATAAAGTAATGTCAAAGTAATCTATATTTTTATCATACACAGATTCCAGCATTGTACGATGATAATTGCTCACGGATCATTTTGTAAATACATTGGGTGTTTATTATAATTAAGTGTTCGACGGCTAGCTTCTGATGTTTATATTGGTTTCACAGATGAAGTTTAGATTTTTAAGTCGAAGCTTTCGTTTTTTTACGGGAAAACATCCAAAAAAAATGGAATTCGCGGAGCCTCCTGCGAAGGCATCATTATGCTGTGAGGATACTCCCGAAGGTTCTCCGCCGACGTATGCGATGTATGAGGCTTTGAAGGATTCGTGTCAGAATAATGCTAGTTATTTTCAACCTGATGACAGTGAGAATGGACAGAGATTGTACCAGGGCTTCATGACACTGATAGATCATATAGATACTGTTTGGCCTCTCGTGGATCACGTTCGAAAGGTAAATATTACATTACAACTTATTTTAAGAACATATGATGTAATCTAAGTTACATATGTACTAAGCAATAATAAAATTATAACATAATAAATCCTATTTGGTGATGGGAATAGTATATCATCTAAGAAAGCTGGTTTCCATTCAAAAAACCTGTTTTAGGAGTTAAAAATATAAATTATTAAACAAGTTACAAAGTTGCAGGTGTTATTATAATCTTATTATCTTATCTATCAAAGATTTATTTAAAAAATCATATCAAATATTTGTGTTATAAAAATAATCAGAACTGATCAACTTTCCAACTCAAAGGTTGTAGGTCATAGATCAAATAATTTAATTGTTATAGCATGATTCATAATATACATTGGAATGAGAGGAACAAAGATTTGAACAAACATGTGTTTAAGATAATATGATCATCACAACTATGTTTGAAGTCCACAGATGTTTTGCATTAACATAAAAGATATTTATTACGGGTCAGGTGTCGATAAGGAATATCATTACTGTAGTAATTACTTCCTAATAATATTTTATATATGAGTAATATGTTTTACCATATATACTAAGTATTTCTCACAGTTTTTCCTTTTCAATTTCCTACATATAAATTATAGTTATATATTTTGTATTTATATTATTATATTTCTGTTTCATAATCATTAAGCAGAAGTTAGTTTGTTAAAAACATACAAAGATTTATAAGCCATCCAAATTTTTTTTCTATGACTAAAATTTAATGCAATATAAATTGTTGGTCATATTGTTTGGTTAATATCTGCCTATTACTAAATAAAATTAATTCTTTAGCTTCCATGACTGTACCTCACCACCACTATTTTTGACTAGTTAAAAGGTGGACCAATTTGTTATTAAATCAAGGGTTGTCTAAAATGCCTAAAACAGAAATTGGTTATGTTAAAACAACAACGCCAATGAAATTCATTCTTGGATGGGTTTGAAGCAATAAATGTATAAAATGTGTAAAATAACTTTTTGAAATAAATAAATTTGAAATTTTGAAATTTGTTATAAAAGTTGGAGTCCCATAACAATCATCTTCCATCTGACTGTATCTTGAATTTTTGTTTAAGAACTTTTTTTCTTTAACAGATATTTTTATTATTCTATGAATCACATTAAGACCTGCTGCAAATGGATATAATATATCATGTAATTTAATTACATTATCTTGTTACAAAATCTGAGCTAGCCTACTTACAACATAACAATAAAATATACATATGTATGTGTGTTTGTGTGTATGTATGCACATGCATTGCGTGTCTTACATATGTATGAATGTATGTATATCAGGGAGTAAAATTTATCGATAAGTATTAAACAATAACAACTGCAAATCAAATATATTTTTAACAGCGACCTCAAAAGATTAGTCATAAAAAGAAATGAATTGTGAACAGTATGATCATTTTCAAGGATGTTTCGTATGATGAAAACAGGCTCGCTTTTTGTCTGTGTATAATAAACAATGTTTATTATAACAGGTGGCTCCGTTGTACGACTTCGATGCCAAATCTCCCGGCAATGGCTACCGTAGTTTCGTGTCCGTCGTGGATTCTTGTGTTTTGAATGGACTGAAATTAAGCCGTCAAGTGTGCACCGGTCGTGACGCGCTACTGTTCAGAAAAGGTTATTTTGTTAAGTGAGTATCATTATATATTTTTTATAGCCTTAGTTAAGGATATTACGTAATTTAAATAGTTTCTAATGCTCACAAAGTTTCCATTGTTAAATTTTATATTTAGTTTTTCGTATTAAACTAAAAAAATATTGCATTTTAATAAGAATTTAATGTCTTGTAAATAATTTTAAACTGAAGAATCTATAATAGATGTTCAAATAAGTGGCTTTTATATAATGGGCAAACCCTTATTTCGTTCTATTTAGTTAAATTGTGTTAACTTTATGCACACCAATTAAGAACTTACACTATTGATAATTTAAAACTTGAATGTTGCGGATTTGCGATGTTACGTAATACAAGATAATTAAAATTATTTAAGCATTTAATATATATTTTTCATACAAAACTTAATTTTCTTTTACTAAAGTTCATTATTCTGTAAGTGGGTCAAACCTCTCGAGGTAAACCAGAGTATGATATTGAACTTTAAATCACAAAATAACAAAGTCCAAAATATTAAAAAAAAACCTATGATCGGGTAATGTTGATGTTCTGCCAATTTCAATTCAAAAACTGAATAGCTTTTATACGCCAACAATTCAAACTAATTGTGGATTGTGTCTTTATAAACTATTTATAAATCTATTTGATAAGACTATCGCGGAAAAATTATATATATATTCGCATTCTTTATGAAGGTTGGAACTCGTTTTATTGTTAATTGGTCTAATATCCTTCAATTAAATAATGTTTGGAAACACACTTATACACTAAAGAGAGCGATGAATTAAAAGATAGGAGCATTTAATGACCATTGGTTTTAGTAATTTTTGAAAATAAAGAAACTCGTTGACATAAAACTTTAAATAATTCGAACCAAAATTGAGTTCAGACATAGTAATGGATTAAATTGAAATTTATTCTTGGCATTCGCTGCTGATTTTACAATTCCCAATATTGAAAGCTATTGCAGCCTAAGATTTATGCTTAAATAGCTATTTATTTTGGATATCAATAGACCATTCTTTTATACTGAGCATTGCTTGTGGACATTTTAGATAGCACCTCTAATTCGCAAAATGCATTCCTTAATGTACATTTATTTACTTCAATAGATAGCAACAAATATTCTCATTTGTGTCGCCTATGATTGAGCTTAAAAGGACCAATAAATGGATAATAATTATGAAGAATTAGTTTATCAACATGTGTTCGGATTAAGCATTATCTATCTTCTATATATATAAAAATGGATTGCTGTTCCTTAGTCTCGCTAAAACTCGAGAACGGCTGAACGGATTTATCTTATCTTAGTCTTGAAATGTTCGTGGAGGTTCAGGGAAAGTGTAAAAGGGGAGAAAAATTTATTCATTTCCGGGAAAATCCTAAAAACAGCCCTTTTCTATTTCCCATACAAATGTTTTCTTTGACATTAGATTTGACAACTAACTAATATGTCAATCATTCTGTTCGATTGAAACAGGAAAAACCTGATTATTTATGACCTCTAGGACGAAATAGAGTTCGCCCGGTCAGCTATATTACTAATGATGAAATTAACGCGGACGAAGTCGCGGGCAAAAACTAGTATATATATAAAAATGGATTGCTGTTCCTTAGTCTCGCTAAAACTCGAGAACAGCTGAACGGATTTATCTTATCTTAGTCTTGAAATGTTCGTGGAGGTTCAGGGAAAGTATAAAAACTGAAAAAAATTGATTCATTACTGGGAAAACCATAAAAACAGCCGTTTTCTATTTCCCATACAAACGTTTTTTTTGACATTAGATTTGACAACTAACTAATATGTCAATCATTCTGTAACACTTCAAAACACGGAGATTTATGGCTTACAGATAAACTCCAAAAATATAAATAAAAAAACGTAATAGAAACTTTTTGATTATAGGGCGATACGAAGTTCGCCAGGTCTTCTAGTATACAATAAAAATACAATTCACATATTTGTTCCTCTAATGTTCCTTATATAAAACGATGAACAACAAAATAATATGTGTCTAATTACCAATGGAATCTTAGCTGATATATGTAATTTTGTATATTCATATCCCATAAGTTTATCTTATTCTTTGTTTCCCTAAAATAAAAATAAAAAAATAGATATAGAAAATGTAAAGTCTTTTCATGTAATGTTAACATTTTCTCAAAGGGAAGTTGAGTCTAGCGGTCAGTTGCTAGCGTCGCTCGGGACTTGTCTTCACCACCTTCAAACCTTACTCTCGTGGGCTCCACCAGGAGAACTCTTCCCTACAGAGCCTCATTCACCCGAAGAACTATTCTCACAAGCGGATACCATCAATCAGTATTGCTTTTACGGAAGATGCCTTGGATTTCAGGTAAGTTTTTGATAAGAAAATTATTAGGTACAAATAGAGTTGCAAAACACGCTATACACTTATGACTTATAGTGTAAATTTTTATATGTACAAATACAATATAGCATAATTATGACATGCTTCTTAGAAAATAGCAATTGGGACAATTGTATCATGTATGTGATCTCATATATACTTTTTGAGAGTCGTAAATTATAAATATATATTTTTTGTTGTAAACGTTATAAAAATTGTGTATTGCTACAAATTAAAAATTAACTATGTATAAATACAATTGAAAACGAAAACCTTGACACAAAATGTCATATGGAACGTGTGTAATTCGATTGTAAACATTTATCTATTTTTATCATATAAAGAGATCATTGACGATAAAATAAAAAATGTTTTACGGAAACGATATATATATGTTCCTATAATTTTATTACACTATATAATAAAATAGGAAGAATTTAACACGTAAAAGTAACTCTGCTTTTTAAATTCATTACTAACTAAATAATTTCAAAATGTTGTCGCTCCATTTGCTATAAGCTTAGAGATGCCCCGATAGATTTAATTAGTTAATTTATTTCCACAGATAACTTAAAGGATTAGCAACCCTACATATTTTATCAAACATACTTTATTGAACCTCTTTACTCAGCTCTAATTCTATTATTTCCGTGTATTCTATAAATTTATTTAATTGTATTCAATATTAAATAGAAGTTTTTCCATATTACCTTTAATTGTATTTAATAAACGTGACTGTAAATAATAAACAATAGAGGACACACAATTCTAAGTCCCAAGCCAATTAAGCATTTACATGACACGTAATTAATCAAATGGCACTGAACATATTAGTCTGAAAATATTTATTGTTGATTCATGTAAAGCTATGATATGAACACTTAGTGTAGTAATTGAACGATTATTTTTAATATAGTAATATATGGTTATAAAAGATATAACCAAATAATGCACTTATGTATATTACAGTAATGGTTGTCATCTATTATTGTATTCGATGATTAAGTACTAATTATCGATATTTATTTATATGTTTATATCACTATATAATATCAGAATAGAATCAAAAATTTCATATAACGCAAAATTATCTATTTTTTTGTGTAAATAGACTTTTAACTATTTAATTCCGGCCTATTCACGGTTATATTTAAGGAGGTCAGTAAAGATCAGGGTAATTTATAGCAATAAATATTATTTATATGATAAAAATTCTTAGTTGGTTATAACCAATTATATCGGCTAAACTAAACTTGTTCAAACTCAAGCAAAGTGGCTCTCTTAATTATTGTAGTTTACACATTTTATGACATAGGTCTATGCATTTTTTTTTCATATATGTATATCATGAGAATTACATACTTTAACTACAACACAAAGTCGTACAGAATAACATATTTCTTTTTGTCAATAATCTTTTTAGTACTTTTTACCCTATAAACCATAGCTACATCATAGACTATAAATTCTATGACATTAGATTACCACAGATTATCCTAATATTCAGTACAAATTAAATTTATTCCAGTTTCTTCCGTCAATGAGGAATATATTAAAAGGCATTTCCATATGTATGGCCGGTTTCTCAGAAGCGTATTACAGTCACGGTAACTTGATCAGCTCGATGTGGACCGGGGGCCAGTATTTGATCGACCCAGAGATGAGAGCACGGCGTATAGTCAATATATCACAATCAGCGAGCGTTGAATTCTGTAAAGCTTTTTGGTTCCTAGCTGAGAGTGGTAGGTGTTGATTAAATGTATCATGAAATTATTTATTTTTAATGTTACATTCATATAGACATTATTGTTCAGATTACGAAGGTATTTTTAACTTATCTTCTTTGGTAAGTGAGAAGTTGTAAGAAAATACTGTTTCAATTTCAATATATTTTCTAACTTTATGCGATATATACATAAATTGTAATTACGTGATAATATGTAATAAAAAATAGTACGTGTGATTTGTTTCGATTACACCAAACGATCAGTCACGATTCGTTTTCTATTACCTTGCAATATTATTTTATATAAAAACTATCAATTTTTTTTATATTTTTATACTACAGAAACTTCTATATGTAATTATTATATTTGCAGAAATAATGCGAAGAGTACCAAGTTTGATGTCATCGACGGTAGCTGTTAATAAATTAATAACAATACCACCGGAACCATTAGTGGTGACGAACAAAGACGGGAAACAGATAACAGTCTTACCGCCAGAAGTACACATAGGGTTACAGGGACTAAATGTTAGACTCATCAGTGTTAATAAAAGAATGGGAATGGTAAGCTATCATATAACTTTGTATTAGTAGTTTGTATCTATACTATGATTAAATGTTATGAAAATTACTCGTAAATTTCTACTACCAAAAAACAATAGTTAATCACCAAAGAAGTCTTACTTACTTCGTCAGTATTTAAGTATACGCATGGAATAATCAACCTTATTTCTTATTAAATAATGACTAAATTCGTCTATTTCTAGTCTGATGAAAGCTCATCAAATCTACCGCCGGCTGAGGGAGTAGTTTTTCACTGTCACGGAGGTGGTTTTGTGGCGCAAAGTTCAAAATCTCATGAAACATATCTAAGAGAATGGGCGGCGAAATTAAATATGCCGATACTGTCGGTAGATTACAGTTTAGCTCCGCAGGCGCCGTTCCCGAGGGCTTTAGAGGAAGTTTACTACGCTTATTGCTGGTTGTTAAATAATTTCAAACTGATCGGTACCACTGGTGAGTTATTACAGAAATTACATAGAAATTATAACATTTTAGTCACCTATTATTTGTTTGGATTCTCAGGAACATCGAAATAAACTATCACATTCCTATTCCATTCATAAATCTTTGCATATAATAATATCAATGTATATGAATAAAAAAATAAACTGTATCTTTCTTAGTGATCGTCAAAGTCGTGGTAGGGATACTGATCTTAAATGTTTAAAAATATATAATCCAAAAAACTGTAATATACCAAAATTAAGTGGTATTTTTTTTAAATCAGAATCGCTAACCCTGTTACCTCACTAAATAATATATTAGTAAATAAAAATTATTTTGAATTCCGAATGTTATCCGAAATGGCTTCGAAAATACTGGAACACAATTTTGAAACTTCTCTGAGCTAATTATATAGTTACATTCATGAACGTCCTAATAAAATTTGACACTTATAATAAATAGATGAAATGGATGCATATAATAAGTGGTGGATACTTACCCATAGTCCAATTTACATGTTCTATTTTTAAAATGTATCAAATAATCTATATTCAGGTAAACGTATAGTATTTGCGGGGGACTCAGCCGGTGCGAACCTCATAGCAGGTTGTACCCTCAAGATACTGTCTTCAGGGCTTCGTAAACCCGAGGGTTTGTTCATGGCCTACGCTCCCTTACTAGTGAGCTTCATACCAAGTCCCGCAAGACTGCTATGTCTAATGGATCCTTTACTACCCTTCGGATTCATGATGAGGTGTCTTAAAGGTATTTTTTTGAAAACAAACAACCTAATAATTATTATTCTTATAGTCCTTAAAGCATATTTGTAAAGTTATATAAGCATTGTCAGTAATTTGAATTGAAATTTATACTACTTGGACAAAGTAAGCCTTAATGGTACTATAATAGTTGAAATTTTACAGCCTACGCAAGTCCAAATACTAAAGGTAAAGATGACAAGCATCCGAACAAAGTGAATACGCCGTCAAACGCCACAAGTCCTGTTGAAGGAAACGGATTTCTTAGAGTTAGCCCATCACAAGGTTAGTATGTCTCAGATAACTTTGGTTAGAGCATAGACAATAGACATTTAATATTTAGGTATGTTTTTTGGGTTTATATTTTAACCACGTTTGAAATTTCTTGTACTAAAACCACGATAACGATGCTTTTCCATAGTTACTCACATATGTCTTTGTTTGAAATCGAAAACCATTTAATTATTTTTTTGAAATTAGAAATAAATAGAATAATATCTACTTTTAATTTGACATACATAGAATACAATAGATATTAAAAAATGTACAAATTACGACAAAGTGAGGTTTGTTTAAAAATTATTGCAACGTTTATACAAAAGCCGAAATTCTGCCCATCTCTTCAAGTAACTATGTTTACCAATTTAACTATCAAGACCAGCTAAAGACTAAGTAATTGCCTTCCTAAATAGTCCAAACTCATCCGCTAAAGGGCTTAAGCTTATATCATCCTAGCTAGCTAGAGACCATATAATTGTTCCTCTAAATAGTCCAATCTCATCCGCTGGACGACATAAAAGCTTAGATCAGGCTCATTAGCTAGAGATTATAAAATTGTTCCTCAAATAGTCCAAACTCATCCGATAAAGAACGCAGTCTTAAACAATCCTCACTAGCTAGAGATCAATATAATTGTTCCTCTAAATAGTCCAAACTCATCCGCTAGAAAACATAAAAGCCTAGATCAGTCTTATTAGCTAGAGACTATAAAATTGTACCTCAAATAGTCCAAACTCCTCCGTTAGAAGACATAGAAGCTTAGATCAGGCTCATTAGCTAGAGACTACAAAATTGTTCCTCAAATAGTCCAAACTCATCCGCTAGAGGGCATAAGCTCGGGACCGTCATCGTTCGAGGAGGTCTCTCCATCTGATCTCGCTGAACTACAAGCGCACAAGTCCGGCAGTGAGAGGAGACAGTCCGCTGACACAACCATCAGTGGAGGGTCGCTGCAGAGCGAGCATACGGCCACCGGTCAGACAATAATCGACTTTATTTATATATTCATTAGGTTGATTTTTAATAGACGTTCAATCATTAAATGTTCATACGTCAGTCCTGAAGAATATGGTCTGAATGATGCATATATAAAACTAGCTAATAGCTTTCTGCCTACAGCTTCGCCCGCGTGCAGTTCGGTTATATCGAATTTCCAAGAGAATCTTTCAAAAGTCTGAGATAAAAACAATCCTATGTCCTTTCTCAAGGTCAACTCTATCTCTGTACCAAATTTCATTGAAATCAGTTCAGTGGTTTAAACGTAACAGACAGACAGATAGAGTTACTTTCGCATTTATAATACTATATATAAAATGTAACTTGGTTATTGTTATGCAAGATCGTTACTTCATATGAAAGATAAAATTGGAGATTGTGTCTTTTTTGTTTATAATGTTCTAATACGTCATGTGTTTGTGTGTGGTTGAGTAATTGTTTAGGGTAACATTGCTTGATCTTGATGTATGTTTTATAGAATAACCATTATCTTTAACACATATGCAATCTGATTTGAACCTTATTTATAAGGAAATAGTGATAATTATTTGTTAATATTATGTATAAATAAGTAATGATTGTAATAATAATGTTCTCAGGTATATCACCAACAGAGGATAAATCCCAACAGTACGTATCAGATTTCCTCGACAAATACGTGTTCGAAAGCGACACGGATTCTGAAGGGCGGAAGTTTTCTATTATCAAACCTAATAAGAAGTTACAGAGGTATTTTCTGTCTGTGTGTCAGTGTTAGACGTTAGAACGACTCATCTATAGAAAATTAATAATTTGTGTATTTAGGTTAGATAGAATTTAATTTTGTAATAGTCGCTTATTTATTTTAGATTCAATCATTGTAAATAAATTTCTCTCATAATAAATATGTCGAGTTCATGGAATGGAACTAGAAAATTAGGTTTCTGTCACTCATAACTTATATTTAGATACTTAACGTGAAATTAGTTTTAGTGTAGATTTTTCGCATATTTGTTTTATATGTATATTATAGAAGTGTACTTAAATTGGAAGATACAGTGGAAAAATACCTAACACATCCTGAATATACTTTGTAATTAAAAATTTATGCCCAAGTATTGTTATTAAAACAAAATCAAGGTATCATTTTAACGATTACATTAAAGGGCCTATATTGTTTAGCATTACAGTCTTACGTTGACCAGCATAAATCTTTTTCTTCCATGAAAATGACTTTTCAAATATTTTACTTTTGTAAAAACTGACAACTTTAAATGTATATAGGTATATTAAAACATCTTCTAATTAATATTTCTAGGGATACCGAATCTGAAAGTACACTCGTCGGTGAGCCTCCGCTCATACAAGACCAGGATCACAGAGATAAGAAAAGGATAAAGGCTCGGTAATTATATTATCATTAAGTTAATACACATACATATATTTAGTGCTCGCTAACTCCTTACGTAACACGTATTAAAGCAATAATCACATTACTTACAAATATGTATCCTAACCTTAGTTGGCATAGTTGAAGGAAGTACAGAATGTTTGGAGATTTTAGTTCATAAATCTAATGTAATGCAAGGGTTCCCAAAGTTATTTTGTCTACTGCCCATTTTGAGAGTAAATTATGTTTTCACATACTGAAAAATCACTATAACTGATCTTAACTATAACTAAAAGAAATCACAAATTACCCCCCCCCCCCCAAGGCCATAAAGAGCCATAAAGAATGCCCTCAATTTTTTTGTGTTTCTAACCAGTCCCTTTAAGTCTGCAAGAACCACAAGAGGGCGTTATCACCCACTTTGGGAAAGACTTCTCTAATGTCCTAAAATTTATGAATGAAGACTAAAAACGTTCCGTATTATGTTGACTATGAAAACTTGTTATAAAACTGTATTTAGAGTATAGAAGGAATAAAAGTACATAATTTTTTCGTAGTTATATTAAGTTATCTAATATGCTCGATCTATTATAAGTATTATATAATAGCCCACAACATGTTTATTTTTTTATGCTCCAGTAGATAGATAATAAAGAAATACATAACGTTAGTCAACTAAAGTTAGAGCCGAGTAATAATAATGAGATTCCTATATCCCCAGTACTTCAAACAAAATTAGTGTAAATTTAACAATTAGAACATCTTTATTTCAAATTCCTTTATAAATAAGTTTAAACAACTCTTTCATATTACCGACACTATATAAGCTTGTTTATCTCAAATACTCTTAACTTAAACTTGTCTTAACCAATCATTCAGAAAGTACCGAAATTGATTTAGGGTATGTGTTCTGTATTTATAACCCATATAGATGGTAAAAAAAGTAGTAACATTTATACATAACGAATGTTTTTGGATTTACTCCGCGTTTTTTATTTTTTAAAACCACATACTCCCGACGTTTCGGTTACTTTATATCAATCGTGATTACGGTCAGACGAGATGTGAGTGTCTGTCAGTTGGTCTTGTTATTTTGTCATCGATGTAGATCTCATTCAGTAGTAATCATTACTTCTAACTTTAAGAAGATCAAAGAATCTTCTAGGTATAATGTACTCAGCTAGTGCTACTGTAGTGATATTTGATTTTTTTCCTAGTATAAGTGAAGCAGCTACTGGTATAATGGGTGCCATGTCGTCAAGATTAGCGTATATAACCGGTTCAAATAACATAAGGCCCACTCAAGAAGAGTAAGTAACCCCTCATTAGTCATTACTTACTTAATTATAATTCCTAGTTTAAATATCTACACCTTCAAAACGAAACAAAGATAATATTGAATCATACAGATAATTAAAATATTTTATCTTATAAAAGAAATGATTCCGCTTGTTCCCCTTCTTAAATTCAAATCGCAATTTACAAAAATTATACACATTATCAGACTTATTAATGAGATGTTTTTTATACGCTACATATCTTCAATTAAAACCTCTTTCGATCTTATCTAATGACATCTGCTGTCAGATAGAACATATTAAGTCATCTGTCACACATAGTAAAAACTTTATAGATTAGTCTGTCATTTTATATTGCACACCATCGATATATACTGATCGACATTACTGTACGCGTATAATCTGCAGTAATTTTTTTGTTTGAAAAGAGTGAGAGAGATGGCCTATGCTTTCGGTCTAGCACTATCTCTTTCCTCATAGATGATTGGCGCTCTGTTTTCATGACAAGCACGGCATATAAATTTATATAATTAAACTATGAATATAATTTATGAATCATTGTCATGTCCATTAGTAAATGTCGATGTTTCACACCACATACACCCATAAAACCTCCATGGTAATATTTTAAATGATATAGAAACTTTTTGTCTGTCAGGTTGTCAGTCCGTTCTAACCTGGACGCGCTGATAGCCCGCAGTCCGTCCGATGAGTTCATATTCTCTGTACCACGTGACCCTCTTTTATCACCGTACTGGGCAGACGATAATCTATTGAAAAGATTCCCACCAGTGAGGTTGTTGGTAAGTGTCTTTTATAATTAAAACTATATATTTACCTACTTAAATGAAACTATGCAATATTTTCGGATTACTTTTGTTATTGTATTATTTTTAAAAACCACATACTTCTGACGTTTCGGTTACTTTCCAGTATGAATAGTAATCCGTAAACATTAGTTTCATTTCAATAAATACTCGCGAAAGTAACAGTTCTTTTTATATATATTAACTATTTAATATTCAGTATTTGTTCAATACTGACGCTATATCATTTATATTCTTCCATAAAGGCTATTTGTTTTCTAATTATAATTCTAAGGAATATTTTTTAAATGGTGTGTATTTATTTCAATTTTTTTTCAGACTGTACATTTAGATCCTTGCCTTGACGACTGCGTGATGTTTGCCAAAAAACTAAAAGGTTTGGGCAACGAAGTCGGTATCGACGTATTAGAGGGGCTGCCTCATGGGTTCCTTAATTTCTCTCTTGTAAGTAAATTATACTTATAATATTACTAGCTTTCCGCCCGCAGCTTCGCCCGCGTGGAGTTCGGTTATAACGCGTTTCCAAGAGAACCTTGCAAAAGTCTGGGATAAAAACTATCCTATGTTCTTTCTCAAGGTCAACTCTATCACTACCAAATTTTAATAAAATCAGTTCAGTGGTTTAGGCGTGAAAGCGTGACACACAGACAGACAGAGTTACTTTCGCATTTATAATATTAGTAAGGATAAAGAACCTTTAATTAAATTTACACCACATAGTTTTTCCTTATATATTTTTGGTCACCTTGTTTCATACATTTTTGTATTAAATAATATGTATTATTACAGATGGCCAAAGAAGCGAACGAAGGTTCAAAACTTTGTGTGGAACGCATAAAACAGTTATTGGACTTGGAAAATCCTACGACACCAGAGAACAATCACTTATGAATGTGTGGCCTTTGCGGTGTTTAAAGCCAACGGCTAACACTATCAAAACTTTATAGGCAACAATAGTGGCCTTTAGTGCAATTTAAAAAAAAATAGCCAATCTATTGTTAAGGAATTATATGTCCTGTTTTTAAAAGGCTGTATAACAGATTCTTTGCCTCATTTTTATCGTTTATGTGTGACGTAATATAATGACGTTATTATTGATAACCTCTTTTTTGTTTTCAAGGCTGTATGGAACAGTTCCTTTACTTATATTTTAATAGCATTAAAAGTAATGAGGTAAATTTTCAGTATGTGTTAATGTCACGAATTGAAGGTACGTGTGGACCAGATAATACGGGCAGAAATATTTTGTATGAAATCATATAATTTCGATTGAAAACGCGTTAAGTGTAGATATTGAATAATTATATAAAATTGTCGTTAAATTTAACGCGCCTGTTAAAGGTGATATTGTTTAAGTACGTGCATTTCTTTTGCATTTTTATAATTTGTATTTGGGTATCATCACTAAGATATACGTAAACAAAGTAATTCAAACACGTACGAGTTAACGAAGGTTTACAATATGCCACATATTATCAAAACACAAAGGTTTACAGTATACCACAGATAATACAAAATGCCAGTACATAAAATATTTATTTTGAAATATTTTTATTGTTATTTTACAAGCATGAACAACCCATCAAATGTAATTATATTATACTAATGTACACATAAAATTAATCCTATTGAAATATTATATTTTAATGTGGCAACTTAAATACAACATTCACCTGTCTGCTTAATAATTCTACTTGATTATAAATATTTATAACTTTAATTTGGACACAAATTTTAAAGGAAACTGTAACACTAACTAAATTATATAAATGTTTTTCATATGTTTGCAAAAGAATTATTTTTGAACAATGTATCTAATTCAGCTTGGACTTGATTCTATTCTGACTTTAAATAAATTAAGTGTGATAATTGTTCTTGATGTATTATAGATAAATGTTATGAGATTAAAAAATTAACTGTCTGTATTTTATAATGGGAGTTATAATGGTAAATGAATTACGAATAACTAAAAGGTACAGCGGCTCAGAACAAGATTAAAATGTATTCTAATTTAATTTAAACATTTGTTGGTCACTAAGAAATGAAATTATATTTTCTTTTAACAATGGAATTATTATACGGAAGAAAACAAAATTCCCTTTCACGTTAAACGAAATATTTACAGCGTTTATGGTTTATAGTGAAATAAGGTGTTGGATGATGCATTTGTTTTAAATTTAAAATGTTTTTTTTTTATGTATGCTGTAATAATTTATCATATGTATATTATTTGACATTAAACTGAAAGTTTTTAAATTATAATTAAGCTTAACAAAACAGGATCCGTTCCAATATACTGAATATATGTAAAATATTGAATCTCATGTCTCTAAGATATATTGGTGCATAAAATTAATTGTTTGTGAAATTTTTGCTATTTATAATTTATTTATATTTATGCCACATTTTATATGTATAAAATTGCCACGTTTGCTTGTATTTTTTGTACGTATTAAAAATACACTTGTTCGTTTGTGAAATTTATAGTCTGTGATAGTGAATTGAAGCTTTTAGAAAGCATGACAGTATTCTAAAATGCACGAATGTTATCAATAAATATTTGTTTTTACAATATTCTTTTATTTTTTATTCTTATGAATTTAATTTATTATAAAAATGTTCCTATTTAGAAAAATCCTCAAAAAAGATCTTTTTTTTAAATTGTTTGACAGTGCTTCTACCTCTTCGATGGTGGTGTATCAATAACTTAAAAATATTCATTCAATTTTTATTAATTAAATTGTATTTTTCATTTAAAATATTTTAATGTTGAAAGTATGAGCTTTCCGACTGTTTTCAATATTGAAGGGCCTCCTATATATCCTACTAGCTTTTCACCCGCAGCTTCGCCCGCGTGGAGTTCGGTTATATCGCGTTTCGAAAAGGACCTTTCAAAAGTCTGGGATAAAAACTCCTATGTTCTTTCTCAAGGTCAACTCTATTTCTGTACCAAATTTCATTAAAAGCGTAACAGACAGACAAACAGAGTTACTTTCGCATTTATAATATTAGTAGGGATATTCAAATGAATTTATTATTCTAAAATAATATTTTATTTACTTAATCAATGAAACATGTCCCGAATATGGTCTCACTCCTTAAATTGTTAAGCATTCGATTAGATATTTGTCTATTATGAAAAAATCGCTCACTTCCAGTCGCAGTTCAATGCTCAAAAACAATGCGTACCTATAAATAAGAAATAAAATATTGACACTAAACGGTATTGTTCATCCAAAGTTGATAGATAAATAATGTTAATTTTATGTATATCACTATGAATTTTTAAATCATTACCTACCGTTCCTTTGTTTAGAAGAATTTAAGAATATCCACTTCATTAGAAAGATATATATGTACACCCACAATACCAATTAGTCGGTATCAGCTGTTGCCTAATCCCTGCCCACTCAAATATTCCATGAGAAAAATAATTAGTTATTACTTGGTTTTGCCATATTTAGACTTGTATAGCAAAACAAGACTCCTTGAAATACAAAAACACAAATACACCATGTAATGCATATTCATTAGCTTATAATCTATTCAGTTTTATGTTTTCATCAATATAAATTGTTTAAAATTTCAAGAATTCAATAATTACTTGTTTTGTAATATATTATCTTATCAGATGTACACAATTTTAGAAACAATATATGAAACATAGAAGGAAAATCAAACACATGTTAATTGTTAATCATGTTTATTGAACTAATTCTAAAATTTCAGAGAATCATGATAGTCAAAAAGTATTTTCAAATTTTTTTTGACAGCGGGAAAATGACTCGGTAACATCTATAGTTAACAAAGGAAATATTGTAATTTATAATATTAAATACATGAACCATAAGAAAAACTTCAACAAAGGTTTCTGGGATAAAAAAAAAGAAAATAAATATAGTTTCTGTATATATAACAACACCTGAGAAATAATAACAAACATTTTAGTGCCAAACATAAACACAAATAATTTGCGAGCCGATAAAATTGAATTTTCAGGTGAAACAAACAGATTGTTAAAAAAAAAAATTCAGAGCATCTATACTTATCTTAAATGTACAAGTACAGTAAAAAATGGACACAGTTCACATGCCATTAAGTTTAGTTAAAAGAATGCCTAGAGCTAACATTATATTACTTTACACATATCCAATTCAGAGAGAAAATCATTTACAAACACTAAGCTAGATAGAAAAATTTATAGATAGTACAATTTCATGTAAATGTATAATTATAGGCGCACATTGAAAAATGCAAATGTATTATTTTTTGGTCAACATGCGGACTACATTACATCACAATGAAATCGTTACAAGAATTGTATCAGTCAGTATGATAAGAACATTGTACAACCGCATACAAATTATTGTTTCTATTACAATTTTCAATTATGTAAATATAAAAGTGACCTTATTATGATTCTTATTTTATATCACTTGCCTTTCACAGTTGATTTGAGACGTCGGGAAGATTTTTTCAGTCATGACCGTTTGTTTTCGCATGGGGTACAGTCCCGTTATACAGTGTTGTATACTGTGGTTGTCTTATGGTTTTCTGTAAGACATGAGCATCTGCCGGCTCTATCCGTTTGTAGTAGTGTTCTTTTGTTTCGACAATTTCAAAACCAAACTTCTTATAAAAGTCTATCGCACCCTCATTATTGACCTGAACATGTCTAAAAGAAAAGACAAAATTTAAACTAATGTTTACTTCAGAAATCTTAGCCAAGTTTATAGTTTGTAGCAAAAGTCTAAAATTTATATTGTGATTAAAATATAAAAAATATATATTTAATTGTTTTCATTAGGAATAAAATGAATAAAGTAATGTGTTTTTACTTGATTAATTATAAATGAAATAAATCAGAAATAATTGCATATGATACTTTAGTTTCTAAGGAATTTTTTATATATGTTATTTTTATCATAAATTCACATAGATAATGTATTAGGTTACTTTTTACAACACTGTTGTATCTCATTTAAACCATTAAGATATTAAGCAGAAATGCAAAGAATCGGACGAAAACAGTCGTAATGAATATTAATAACATAATTAAAGAATAACTTACAAGAAAATACTATCAAAATTGCCATCCTGTTCAACATACTTGAGCACATGTTCCACCATCAAAGTGCCTATACCAAGTCTTCTGTAGGGATATAGACAACCTAAGGTCATTATATACAATCTTCTAGAGTTATCTGATGTATCTATTCTACAACAAACAGCCCCAACCACAATATCGTTATAATAGGCCAGCTTAGCTAATTCACCAGCTTCCAAAACATCTTTATAAAATTTGTCGTTGTAGGACACTGGGAATACTACTGTATTCAACTTCTTTAATTGCTTAATATTATGCGGTGTCACATCGCCGAGTTCTATTTTAGCTCTGAAATAGCAAAGGTGTTCTTATAACATACGAATTTAAGTTTAGGGCAATCGTGCCTTGTTTAGTCAAGGAGATTTGACGAATGAACAAAAACGTTAAAATTAAAATATATTCAGATCTGCCAATAAATTACCTAGTCATTTTTAATAACTATTTCTTATATTACACTAAAATTTAAAAACTAATCTAACACAGTTATATCACACGAGATCACTCCCGCCATCTACCACATTAGCTAACTCGCTCGCTGGATATAAAGAAATTGACAGATATCATGCAACGCAAACTTGACAACTGAGTAAAGGTGTTTCCATACTTACGTTAAAACGATTATTTAAACTTAACAATCTCATTTTTCAATTAACTTCTGGCCAAATTGAATAACGCTAATGAAGAATAACATCACGTACTTCTCTGTTTTTAAGATTATATTTAAGTCTTAATCTTTATCAAGAAAATTTATACATTAGAGATTTCATAAGAATTTTTAGAGGGCGTTCATAATATAATGCCGCAATAGATTCCTTAAACTCATTCTCTTTAGGAAGAATCGAAAAGTACTAATAGATATTCTATTGGTTAACAGTAAATTTTTAGAACTATTATATATAAGCAAAAATTGTAATTACATTATACCGAAACAAATAATAATAAAAACAACAATTAAAGACAATCACCAATGCATGAAGCAGAAAAAAATAATAAAATTGATACTTCTAGTTTTTGTTTCCAAAGGGTGAACAAATTGAATAATATCAACTACTAATTTTTTTCTATATGAAGTATTTTATACTAATCCCAATTTTTTTTGAAATGTAATTCCGTAAAAAAATTATATCAGTAAAATATTTTACACCTTAAAAATAAATAAAATAATAACTGTTTGCGAGTATTAGCAAAGAGCCAAAAATTTAATTAGTAAAAAAATACATCAGCAGAATACATTTTTATTTTAATACGACATATTTTCTCACATTTTGTTTTAGCTTTCCTCTGCATCAATTACTCGTTCTTAAAATATTATTAAGAATCAAGAAAAATACAGATTAAAAATTTAAAAACATATATTTTGAATTTTATGGCGCTCTTTTAAAAAACAAATCTGAAGCGTGGTATTCAGTTGTTTTATCCACAAATGACAAAGTAAAGTGTCCTTAATTCTGTTATAAATCTTAAATATTTATTGCAAAATTATACGAACAATGGTTTTCACACATTTACGATTTCTTCCGACAAATGCGCGGTATAACCTATTTTCGAATGGGAACAGATTTCACCTTTGGAGTGCTGTCCAGATGCAAACTTCCAAGTCTCTAGAATTAAATACAAATACGGTGCAAAAGAAAGTTTTATCTGAGGAAGTAGCCCCTACTAGTAATATTATAACAAGTGATATTTGCCCTTCATCTCGTGTAGTTCCAATGGTTCTAAGTAAAAAAGAAAATATCGTATTACCTTTCGATGATGTCCCTGGTCCAAAGTCCCTAAAATATTTGGCGATTTTTCGCAATTATTTATCAGAAATTGGAACGCAAGTAACGGCTGGATTTTTGACATTCACTGTTAATGCAGGTAATTTTTACCAAACATTATTAATAACTCCGAAAATATAGATTTTTGAAATTAGTCTGATTAAATTTTTACGTAGTTAACTTTAAATTGTTGGTTTAAACATTTAAAAACCATCTTTAACCAGCTCAACATATCTGTATTTCATTCTAGGAGCCTTATTGAGTAACAGAAAAACCTATTGGAATCTTTCAACACTTTTCGACGAGTACGGGCCAGTTGTACGTTTTGTGAGCCCAGTGGGAAGTGATATAGTTCTCCTCAACCATCCAGATCACATTCAAAAGGTCTTCAGTATGGAAGGAGACTGTCCCGTTCGCTCAAACCTGGAATCCCTGGAAAGATATCGCACTGACCATAAAAACCATGCTTACGGGGGTTTATACACTGTGTTAGTTGATATTAGTTTAATATATACCGATAAGAAATTTCTTTTATATACAATATACGATTTGTTTCAAGTCACGGCCAAGAATGGGCGCGGCAAAGGTCTATTATGTACCCCAAAACGAAAGAACTGTTGTCGCATCACGTACACGGTCTTTATGATATAACGGAGAAATTCACGCAGAAGATTTATAACTTGCGTAATTATCAGGATGAAATGTCTAAGGATTTGTACAAGGAGCTGCATAAGTGGGCTTTTGACTCTTTGGGTGAGATGAAAATAAATTGACGTAATATTCATGAGAGTATACAGGCTATAATACTTTATGCATTCATTGTCTTTCTTGATGTCTTTCAAATAAAACTGAAAAAATTACAAAATTTTTACATTTAGACCGGTCTATAGCTTAGCCGGTCTTATTGAGGCAACATTATCGTAGTTTCAACATTAGTATAAGGGAAAAGCAACAGTCGGAAATTGGTATTTAAATATGTATATATTTCGATAGTTTACTACACGCTTTCTACATTGTGAGAAAAATATTTATTTTAACTTCCATTATAAATGACTTGAAAGAGCTTAACAAAAGGGAATTCGGATGATCCACTTATATCGGCCATTGACTTATATTCATGCACTTAAACTGAAAATTGTTTTAAAATATATTTTATATGTGTAATGAAAAACTAAACATCATGGTCTTAAGATAAGTTTGAGATTTCACGACTCTTATTGCGATAAAAATGTACTTCTTTTAATAGTATAAGAAATACGTTTTGCAATAGACCTAAATCAACATTGAAATAATAACTTCATATATTTTTCATGGTAATCCGTCAACATTGAAATCAAAATCGAGATAAATTCGTATAATATTATTTATTAATTAAAATATTGAAGGCCTTATAACATTCGCTAAAAACTTCTGCCTCTTGGACACGGAGTTGATATACAATCAATGCGACGCGTCGTGGATGTACCACAGTCTAGAACATGCCACAGACGCAATCATCAAGTGCGAAACTGGCCTACATTTCTGGAAGTTTTTTACAACTCCCGCCTGGTACACACTTGTAAAATACTGCGATAATTTGGATAGGTAATACTAAAATTTTATTAATTTAAATATAATAAGCTTCGATTATTAATCATTTTTATTATTCTAGCCTTATCGGAAAGTTTGTTCTTGAAATAGAAAATGACATCTGTACGAAATCTCAACAGGAGAACATTAGTATGTATTAAGGGTTATGTTCATTATGGTTTGTAAGATTAGAAATTAATTTAAAAGGAAACTTTGTGTTACCAGAATCAAAAAAATTATTTGTAAATGTGGCCATATTCAGCCAATGTGAACAGGATTTTAATTTAATATCTTTTAGGTCCTAATTCATTAACGAGTGCAATGGTTTTAAACGACGAGAAATTCAAAACTGAGGATATAGCTACAATATTAATGGATATGTTGCTGATCGGAGTCAATACGGTTAATTTTGAAATTTTAATTAATAGTTAATTTATTATTTTTATTAATAATTAATTATAATTCATTTATTATTTTCATAAGTCCAAAAATAATATATCCTAAAAGCCGATTTAATAAAGAGGCACAATAAACACATTATATGGACCGAGAAATAACCAGCGTATATTGTTTTAAGACTTATTCCTCAAACTATACATATGATTTTTGTTAATTATTAATGTTTTAACAACAATTTCTTCCTACGAAAGTATGTAATTTTTTTGATGCCATATAGATCAGTTCTTCAATGTCCTTCTTATTATACAACATTGCAAAACACCAAAAAGCACAGAAGCAATTGTATCAAGAAGTTGGAAATTTGTACAAAGACAATATGACAGTTGATATAAATAATTTAAAGAAAAACACTCCTTATTTACAAGCCTGTATAAAAGAAACATTGAGGTGATTATAGGCTATGATGTTTATAAATTTTTGTATTACCTTCTCAAATTTTTCATTTGAATATTTCAGACTTGTTCCACCAATCCCATTACTTACAAGGGTTCTCTCTAAAAATATAACACTTGATCAATACAAGTGAGTACATTGTAGTCGGTATTAAATGATTAGAATTGATATGTATAATACTATTATATTGGATAACCAAGTAGCTCAATATCAAAAATAATTATAAACAAGTATTTGTATGTATTGAGATCATTATTAATGTAGAGGCCAACAAAAGAAAATTTTTGAAAATAATAGTTGTTAGAACAACTGAATATAATTAGTTTGTTAGTTTTGTAGTTAATAAATTAAAACCATGCAATTCTTTACAATGTAACCTAGTAGATAACAGTTTATTTGCAAATAATTTATTTACTTTTCCGTCACAAAATTTTTATGTTCAAAATTCAAGTATTCCTCGGGGGACTTTAATAATTATGTCCACAAAAGATTGTTCTATGAAAGAGAGTAATTTTGATGATGCCGATAAATTTATGCCTGAGAGATGGTTAAGAGAAGATGCTAAGGAATACCATGCGTTTGCTTCAATTCCATTTGGCTTTGGAGCCAGGAAGTGTATTGGCCAGAATATAGCCGAAACTATGATTTCATTGATTACCATAAAGGTATAAACCTAATTACTACCAAACTATATTGTTTAACATTTAACAGTATTACAAAATGTTTATTTCAAAAGGTGCTACAAAAATTCAAGCTCGAGTATCATTATGGTGACATTCAGGCCACTAAGAGTTTCATTGCAAAACCGAACAAGCCTTTAAAAATCAGATTTGTTGATAGAATATAATATTTTTTCATTTTCTTGCTGATTATGCACACTGTGGTAGGTTTAACATAATAAAGAGATGAATAAAAAGTGAGTTATTTTATTTTCTGTAACCAACTAAATACAATGTTGAATTTAAATAGTTTGAATTTAAGGTGGTTGTGATATTTAAAGAATATTCAACCACTTACAAGTATAGCATTTTTCTAATTTGATTAATAACATTTAACTTTAAAAGTGCATCTCTCTATGCAAAAACAAATTATTGCCACTTACATCAACATATTGCTACATTTATATCTAATCTATACAATAAAATTTCATAGAATGAGCAATACATGTTTATACACATACATCACAGAACTTTTTACAATCTAAAGAAATAAGTCTTTATCGTTGCCGTCTTGATGAAAATATATTAAGATATTTTCCTCTAGTCATTTCTTTGGCTTCCTCCAAACCCAATTGATAAGCGAGGTCGTGGAGCTTTTTCACTTCCATTATGAGACTACTTGTTGTTAATGAGCCCAATTCTGTAATAGGAACTTTATTTAAATGATAACACAAATAGAGATTGTGTAATAATTTCATAATATAAAAATAAGTTAGTAAGACATATAATTAAGTCAGAGACTAAATGAGCAGTAAATTCTTATTTGTAACATTTTTTATTTCATTTGAGAAATAGGAAATAAAACACGCAATCATATTCCCAGAAACTATAAATAAATATTCTATCTGTCCTTTCAAAATAACCACTATTGCTTATAACGGTATTTAATAAGAAAAAATCTTATTTAAAAATAATTTTTATCGAAAAAAATGTTACGAAGAAAAATATTTGAGTAATAGGCTAAAGAACACTCACGCTGCATATAATTGTAGTCTTCTTTCGTCAGATCCTTATTCCAAGACGGTGGTGATTGGTCTGGATTTTGCAAAGGAACGAAATCAGAAACTCCGGGAACTACGAAAGAATCATTAGAGCAATGAGAAGCTTCATTATTAGTAAAATTACTGTTATTATCACCCATTTCAAGTTAAATGTTTAAAATAAGATCGTTATAACCGAAACGCTCAAAACATACAAGCGTAATGGTGGACAGAATGACAACATTAGAAAATATATGCTATGGTAAATCGCGCGACTTTTTAAAATTATAGTATATCATTTTAGAACAAAAAAAATCATGCTTATGGCTAAATTGACGTTATACTAACTTTGTTCAGGCCATAGCTCTGGAGAAGCTCGATCCAACTTCTCTAAACTTAAAAGGCTTTCTTCTAAAGATGTCAGAGGAATATCATCAGAAGCAGCTTGACCTGTATTGTAAGTTACATATATTTTAATATGGTCAGAACATTAAAAAATGTTGCTCAAAGAAAACTACATTTAAAATCAAACACAAGTTTATCGGGAATTCATGGTCAAATATAATATAATTGAGAATTAATTGAAAATTTACCTTCATTTCCTATAGAATTTGGTTTCGCGGCCATTTTCCTAATTTGACAACAACACAACAACTATAGAGAATAAAAATAGACTATTTTAATGTTTCCATAGATAATAATTTAAATAAAATTATGAAAATTTCGTATATTAACATTCTTTAATTTATATATATTTCCCGAAATCTATCACAATTCCTGAATTTACATAACATATTCCATATTCATTAATTAATATGTCATAAATTAATTATGATTATCAAATTGCACTTTCAACATTCTTATGAATAAATTATGTTATTACACTATTTTACCTGGAAATATTTAATAAAACTATAATTAAAGCGATTTGTGGGATAATTGTAATATTAATATGTGTATTTTTAGATCTGTTCAAAATTAATGTGACATTTGTATTGCTATCGCATGTTAAGTTTTTCCCTCTTTCTTCCGGTTGCCAACACTAAGGCAAGGTGAGTGTTGTGGTTAGACCGCATGGTTTTAGCTATTATATTAGGAGAAATTGAAATCTAAAGTGTATAAAAAGTGCTAAAACAGGAATCAAGGTAAAATTTTAGTAATTCATTTCATTGCTTTCAAATTTGTTCATTCAAAGCATAATGGGGTATGTCATGTCGAACTCTTGAGCTTGACGTTAGTGTAACTTTATTTCTTGATTAAGGCTTAAATAATATACATTTTAAACTCTTTTTGTAATTTAATTCTTAACTCTTTTTAAAACTTAACAGTATTAAGGTATTAGTTTTGATATTTCGTATTTATTTTTCATAACCTCAAATGCTTCTCGCACCTTTTAGCGAAATATATTTTTAATTCGCCTTATTAGGATTATTAATTTATTTTTTCTAATATAATTATTTCAATAGCCTCAAACACTTGCTATAAATAGAATAATCCTATAAAATAAATATTGTAATGCTTGTACTTAAGTTATATTATTTCCTGACTTTATACAAATAGATAATTTTATCCATAATAGAAGTGGAAAATATTAATTTGTGCATAGTCCATTTTTTACTTTTATTTATTTAAAGCAGTTTTGTTTTCATGTATTCACATCGAAGGTGGTTATCAAGGGTTTATTAGTCAGGTTGACCAACAACAATAACATATATAAGTGTGATAAAAAAGAAATTTTATTTTGTATACATGTATATTTATATTTACTGTGTTTTTATCAAGTACAAAACATTCAAATATTCATTTGAATTTCAGATGCGCTCCGTCACATTGAAAGATGTTGAACAAGACAAAGTCGTCAAGACAGTCGCTGCCCACTTGAAAAAGTAAGTTAAGCAACTTGTCATTTATCTTCTATTTTGGTCATTTATAATTATGCTAAAATCTTGCTTTGTTATAAATGATGCATAACTAACTTTCTTAATTATTTGTTTATTTGTCAAATCAGAATATTCTTTTGTTACTCCAAAAGTCAAATTATATATATAATTTATTTACTTTTTCATTCATTAATATAGGTACTTACAGTTTTTTAGTAATATTATTGGTATGAAAACTAAACATCCGTGAAAATGTAATTTTTCTTAATTTTCTTATTATCAGTCCAGATATTATTTAAATTATCAACATATTTAATCGCAAAAGTTAAAACAAATTAAAATTCAATTCACCTCTCAAGTATTCAAAATAAAACCTCTTTTGTTTATTTGATGAATATCTCTCAATCTAGGCATATAAATAATATATATAAAAAAAAATTACCAGTTAAATTGTGTATATTATTTTTGTCTTATACATTTTATTTCTTCCCAGGACGGGCAAGGTGAAGGTTCCAGAACACATGGATCTGGTTAAAACTGGTCGTTTCAAGGAACTGGCTCCCTACGACCCCGACTGGTTCTATGTGAGGTGTGCGGCTGTGTTGCGTCACATCTACATCAGATCACCCGTCGGTGTGAAGACCGTCACGAAGATCTTTGGTGGCCGTAAACGTAATGGTGTCACACCCTCACACTTCTGCAGGTATATATACCTAAATACCTAAATAATAACATATATGTTATGATTGTAGATTTTTTGCTATTAACTAATTTTTAATTACCTTATAGGTGTAATTTTTTGTTTGTAAAAACTAATTATAATATTTTTTTTGTTGAACACTTATTTAGGTTTAAAGAATGTTTATTTCTCATTGAAAACGTGCATTCACTTACATGAGATATTAATAAATAAAAATTATGTGCGTAAAATACAAAAGAGTTCAGCAGTTCACATTTACATAGCATAGTAATAATATACATAGTAACACACTCTGGTGCCTTCTGGCTCCTTGAGTGTTCACGGGCGGCGATGACTATCTACCATCAGATGGCTAGCCTGCTTGTTTGCCCCCTATGTTATAAAAAAAATATATATAGTATTTTATGTTTATAACTTCACTGAAAATTTATTGAAGATTAAAGTGATTATCAACAATATGTCTGTAAGTTTGTAACATATTGTAACTATGAATAAGGATTAAATTTATTTTTTTTATTATGGGTGAAATAAACTTGAGCTGATAGTAAAGTTTTCAAAGTCTAAAGTAACTATGTTGGTATTTATAAATAATCAAATGTATTTTGTGATGGATATATAGGGTGACTGGTGAATTACTATCAATATTTAAGGAGAATACTCGGTACATGATTCTCATTCGAATTATGTACAAAAAATAGGTAGCTAATTTTTTACTAAATTTCCGTATAAATAAATAAAGTGTTGACAGGTTCCAAGTGTGGACGCGTGCGGCGGCGTGCTGATACAACACCACGTCGCACGCGTGTGTGTGTGTGTGTGTATACCTAATCTGTAGGGTGTTCACACGATGCGTAATTAATTACATAATTTTGGTTAACTTTACTTAGAAGTTTATTAATATTTATGTTATATTAATTTTTATTTTGTCATATATGATCGTCAAATATCACGTCCTCAAGTATCGATAGTAATTCACCAGTCACCCTGTATAATATGTTATAAATATATTCTTTATATTCACATGTATGACTGAATTATATACATATTGAATATATTTATATTGAATGGTAATCATTAGAATGTTCTATGTGATTAACACCACAATATTAAATGACGCCTTATTACTCTCGCTACAAATGTTCTATTTAACATATTTAGTATATGTATTTAAATAAACCAACAGTGATTATTAAACTTTTATATAAATTGTTTCTTTCAGATCATCTGGCAGCATTGCTCGTAAGGCTCTTCAAGCCCTAGAAGCTCTTAAGCTTGTTGAGAAGATCCCAGATGGTGGACGAGTCCTCACCGTCCAAGGCAGACGTGACCTTGACAGAATCGCTGCACAGGTCCGCCTAAAGGCCAAGCAAGCCGCCAAGCAGAGTGTGATTGTTCTGTAAATTTAAAATAAATAATTATAACTATTTATAGTTTTATTGTCCTGATTTTCAAACCGGACCGATCTTGATGTGGATGTTTGGTTCCAAAGTGATAATGTAAATTAAGTTATAGAATGCAGATGTTTATCTGCACATTTATGTATTTTTAGTGGGTTCTATTATTTATACTTATGTTTAAAAGGTGTCTATAACACCTTTTAAAAATACCACCATAGTTTTTCAAGCCTAAAAAATTAGGTACCAGCCACTAGGTTCTAAGTAAAAGTTGTACTCTTTTTATTTATACTCTGAGGTCTGATTTTTACGTATCGTGTAGAAAATATTTTAAATAATTTAAATGGATTACTAGCAGACATTGTAGGCAGAATTTTTAGCAGACGCGCGTAAATAGCGCCAGTCAAAATTCTTATGATATTAGCATTTTCTATGTCAGACTGTAATAAGAGTGTGTTTACAAAATGCTGACCTTTCCATAACATTTATAACACGCAATAATCGTTTAAAGATTGGCTATGTTAGCACTGCAGTCAACAAAGCAAAATTAGGATAAGAAATCATTCTTCCGTAAATGTTTCTTTGATGCGGGTTTATTTTGTCATTCCTTATTTTCTTGTCCAAAACCAAATTACCTCATATCATTTAATAATGCAATATATACTAAGTTGAGTAGATTTTTAAGTAATAACCTCTGATGGGAGGGTTAACAGCTTCGTAACGGAATCACCTAGTCTGGTTTAACTTTTAAGTAGGTATACGGCATCAGTATAACATGTATGCATGTGTATCCATTAGTGATTACACAGATTCATTTGTGGTTTTTTCACACAATATTTCGTAGTATTATGCTGTAGACCAGAAGTAATGTTGACGGCTGACGCTGACAATATATTTTATAATTCCAGTGTGAATCTAGCCATAGTAAAGGAAAAAAGCTCTTCCAATCATGGGCATGGCTTAACGGTGATAGATATAGCAATATTTTATTTTAAAGCCCATTTCTTTTCAAATAAGTATTGATTGATTTATTAGGAATCAATTTAATTAAAAAGTTGGAGCATTTTCATACCATTGTTCTTAATTCAAAAGTTCTTAATTCTTATGACTACCGACTAGGTATATAGCTTCAAACTTTTATAAAAGTAAAAATGGTTACATCTTGAATATTTTTTGTGTGCACATAATATGTGCTCACATAAAGAAATTATTCAAGGGTTATAAGCATATAGGCTAACGAATGTATCATATATTTACAAATTTTGATGTGGAAGCACAATAAAGTAGTGAGATAGAAAATTTTCAGTTGATAAATTTCCGGCTGACCATATTGCAATGGACCGGTGGTATATTAACTTTATTATGATAATAATAAAACATATCTTTGTAACTCTTTCGTACTGCCACTAATAGTTAAATTTTATGTATAAAAAATGAAAAATATTAAACATACTAAATTCATAAAACTCCAATTTTATCTGTGTAAAATGACGCCGTGTCAAGGTAAACGTCAAAAAGACAGTTTTAAGTAATGTTTATTGACTGTCACGTTATTTGTCATTTCGTTGTTGGTGTATCGGCCGCAGTTATAAAATATTATCAGTCGAGGTCGGATCGTTTTGGATTTGCAGTGATGACAAAATGTTAGCGGCT